CTGTAGTAGCAGTTATAATAGTAATAGTAGTAATAGTAGCTGTAGTAGCAGTTATAATAGTAATAGTAGTAATAGTAGCAGTAGTAGCAGTTATACTAGTAATAGTAGTAATAGTAGCTGTAGTAGCAGTTATACTAGTAATAGTAGTAATAGTAGCTGTAGTAGCAGTTATACTAGTAATAGTAGTAATAGTAGCAGTAGTACAAGTTATAATAGTAATAGTAGTAATAGTAGCTGTAGTAGCAGTTATAATAGTAATAGTAGTAATAGTAGCTGTAGTAGCAGTTATAATAGTAATAGTAGTAATAGTAGCTGAGTAGCAGTTATACTAGTAATAGTAGTAATAGTAGCTGTAGTAGCAGTTATAATAGTAATAGTAGAAATAGTAGCTGAGTAGCAGTTATACTAGTAATAGTAGTAATAGTAGCAGTAGTAGCAGTTATACTAGTAATAGTAGTAATAGTAGCTGTAGTAGCAGTTATACTAGTAATAGTAGTAATAGTAGCTGTAGTAGCAGTTATACTAGTAATAGTAGTAATAGTAGCAGTAGTACAAGTTATAATAGTAATAGTAGAAATAGTAGCTGTAGTAGCAGTTATAATAGTAATAGTAGTAATAGTAGCTGAGTAGCAGTTATAATAGTAATAGTAGTAATAGTAGCTGTAGTAGCAGTTATACTAGTAATAGTAGTAATAGTAGCTGTAATAGCAGTTATAATAGTAATAGTAGTAATAGTAGCTGAGTAGCAGTTATACTAGTAATAGTAGTAATAGTAGCAGTAGTAGTAGCTGTGGAAAGAGTAGTTGTAGTTAATTGCTGCAGTAATCGTAGTAGCCATAGTTATAGTGATAGCAGTAGCTGTAATAGTAGTCGTTATAGCAACTGTAGCAGTAGTACTAGTACTAGTAGTAGTCGTAGTAAGAGTAGTGGTAATAGAAGTAGTCATAGTAATAGTAGTAGTTGTTGTATTAGTAGTTGTAGTAATAGTAGTTGTTGTATTAGTAGTTGTAGTAATAGTAGAAGTTGTACTAATCGCTGTAATAGTAATAGTAGTAGTGGCTGTAGTAGTGATAGTAGTATGTAGTAAAGGTATTATCATTGGTAAGTACCACTGGTAATGATCTTAGTAGTAGGATAGGTATTATTTTTATTAGCAGTAATATTAAGAGTAGTAATTATATAATTATTATTATTAGTACTAATACTAGCAGTAGTAGTGGTGATAGAAATTGTGTTAAAATATTAGTAGAAGTAGTTTAATGATAGTATTGTTCATAATTATATTCATAATATTGTTCAGATATTCATAATTTTCATTCATAGTAATGGTTGCAGATGAATTGTTACTAGTAGTAGTGACAGATATTATTACTAGTCATATTATTAGTAGACGTCGAGGTATTAGTAGTAGTAGTAATATAGATAGTTGTTTAGTTATTACGGTAACATCTGTAGTTGTAGTAACTAACAGTGGTACATGTGTTAGTGAGAGCAGTAGATGTATTTACATATTATTATTGTTAATAGTATATAGTAGTGAAAGAAGTGGTAAAGTATTACTAGTAGAATTATTATGATTCAGATGCTGAACATTTCTTCGCTGATCATCTGTATGTTGGTATTCTGAAATAGAAATATCTCCACCTGGTCCTACTCATCAATCCGAATAAAAACGGAGGACGCAGCCACTTCGGTGTGTTTTTTTAATACTTTATTGACAGTTTAAATGAAGACATTCAAAGCAGAAATCCTTGTTCTTGATTGGCTAAACAGAAGGCACATGGCACCTGCGGAGCGGCAAACAGAAGATAAACTAATCCGAGATGTCTATCTTTTACATACCAATAACAGTCATGATTATCCGAAAGCTAAAGAATAAACCCGAGATAAAATAACCATATTGCTTCAGTGCAGCGTTTCGCTGCGTTTAACGACAGAACGACGGAAATGTATTAGAGAGGTGTCGTGTATAAATAGCACACACTCGCTAAATGATGCTAAAATCTACAACAAGGAAAAAAAAAACACAGCTCTGCTCTTACGTGTGTGTTTTTCTAATACAGATTTCTTCAAAATAATACTGCAAAGTTTCCATATCTTAAAAAAAAAAAAAAAAAAAAAAAAAAAGTTTAGCATTAGAATAAGATCAAATAAAAACTACGGTCGAAAAAAATTACAGTTCGATATTTTACTTCGATTGCATTGGCGAATGCAGGGAGCGTCCACAGACCTGCGCTGGTGTTGCGGGGG